CTAGATTCCTGTAATGTGCGATAAATAATTAACGTGGGTAAAGTCATCCAAGGCTGATCTACGGGATTCACCAATGTCGTAGGTGATGTGTAAGGGACTCTTGTCGCAGAAAATCCAAGATAATGTCAACGTTGAGTGTAAAATCACAATTTTCGGAATCAAAGTCACGATGTAGTATCTGCCGTGGTGGAGGATTTGTGCATCATAATCATGAACAATGAGCACGTGATTTAATCCTTGCAACATCCAACAATACAGCTGATCTAATCCATGATATTATCTCATGAATACTCGCCATCAACTTGGTTTGAATGCCACCTAATAATGGCATGTTCTCTACAATATATGTTTGGGAACGTGTGTGATGCACCTGAAGATGGCGTAACACTCGTAACATCTCCCAAAACATACAAGATCTAGGATCCTGCAATCCTACTCCATGACCAGCGCGTGTGTGACATTGATATAACAATCTCGCAGTCATCAAATCAATAAACCCAACCCAATCGAGATCCGACGTACCCAACAATATAATATTTAAAGTCAACGTTTACTAATATCCTCAAATACCTGATTGTGGTAACAATGAAAGATAATGTTACATCAACTATGCAATATGTCGTGAGAAGACTCGACGTGGAATCTCATCTTTCTGCACATATAATTATCTATGTACAAAAATACCTGACCGCAACATTGCAACCAAATCTATGCTTATTCCATCAAAAAAATCCTACAAACAAACTCCTTTTAGAGATTACTTACATGCTATCGGTGTAGTAGCCAATGACGTTAGTGCACTAGGACCACAAAGAGGCTGATCATCTTGAGATAGCTCTTACTCCTCATGTAATAAGGCTTCATTCCAAGCTTTTTTCATCAACCTAATAGCCTTCAACTATAATACATGACAAGAAAACCAAAGTGAAACGTCCAAAGAAGAGTACATTGCCGCTGCAAAGCTCACAATCTTCTCCCCATCCTCATAGACTAGAGTGTCGTTGGCCGATATGTTGCCTTTCAACAAGTCATTGGACCACGTAACCACTTGTAACCCTAGGGTTTAGAGAGAAGCTCACTTGTAAATCAAAACTTAAATTCTAAAAATGAAATATACCAACAATGCTTCTCTTTTATTTAACTCTTGTTAACAAATACAATAAAATTAAATCTTAGTTCCACATGTAAATTTAAACTTAAATTCTAAAAATGAAATATATCAACAATGCTTCTCTTCTCTTTTGTATAACTCTTATTAACAAATACAATAAGATAAAATCTTAATTCCACATGTAAATTTAAACTTAAATTCTAAAAATGAAATACACCAACAATGCTTCTCTTCTTTTTTATATAACTCTGATTATCAAATATAATAAGATAAAATCTTAATTCCACATGTAAATTTAAATTCTAAAAATGAAATATACCAACAATGCTTCTCTTCTTTTTTATATAACTTTTATTAACAAATATAATAAGATAAAATCTAATTTCACATGTAAATTTAAACTTAAATTCTAAAAATAAAATATATCAACAATGCTTCTCTTCTCTTTCATATAACTTTTATTAACAAATACAATAAGATAAAGTCTTAGTTCCACATATTATTATATAATAGCGTAACAATGTTTTGTCATTATATAATAATATTAACGGAACATTATTAAGCTTGTTATTGATGTACACATTGATACTCTACAATGATTCATATTAATTACAAATGAAGGTATAATCAACAAAATAATTTTATCATAAGAACATGAGTGACTAGGAAACATTCTCCATCTATCATGCACGGTTAATCTTTTCAATTCCCGAAGCGTTGCTATGGGGAAATATTGTAGAAGTTGAGCCGAATGCAACCAAATTTTGAAGGATTGGTTACAATTGAAAGAATTATGATGCTGGATAGAACTGTTAGCTCCAAGACTGTTTACATAAACCCTCACTATAATGAAGAATGTAGATGACAAGATAGGCAAAGTCTATGCACAATACTTATAGAATGGCGAGAATTGACAAATAATGCGTCTTATAGGTAGATCTGATGGGTCTATATTCGACCATAGGAAGAAGTGAAGAAATATGACGACCCCGTAGGACATACTCAAGAAGCAAAGTAGTCTGTAAACACAAGTCTGGATGTACAAAATAAAATTATAGAGGTAGACATATGGAAACATAAGCGGAAAGAGAAACAGGAGCTGTTTTCTGCTTCGGTGTTGTACCCGGTAATTGATGCGGCTTCTAACTCTGCTCATAAACAAGAGACGAAATGTCAGGATAGCTGCACCGACGTATGCCTGGCGAGCGAAGAAGCTGCCTCAATTTTAGCAGACTCCGTGATTTTTCTCAGTTAGGGCAGTCCCTTGGGTCGAGCGTCTATCCATTTCGATCACAGCTGGTTACAAGTTGCCCGTTCCTCGAAGTTCGATTTCCATCCATACTCTGCAATTCAAAACATGTCCGCAGATCTCGACCGTATCATGAGCAGAGGATACTGATAAGTTTTAATTGATATCATCATCTGTTTCGCTGCAAATGTTATCCGATCGCTCTTGTGGTGGAGATTGTCTGCTCAAGGTGTCAAACGAAGATGTATCAGACAATTGGTTCATCGAAAACTAAGAAATTGAGCTTCTGGACAGTTTGTTTGTTGGATTGCCCTTCGTAATGTGAAGCAGTCGTTGCTTTAAATTCAAAGCTGTTCGAGGCGAAATAGAGATATTTTTCAAGGGTCCTTCGAGGGTTATTTTCACACTGGTGTGAAAAAACCTGAAGCTCACGGTTTCATTCTGTTTGACATAATTGTACAGCTATAGCACTGCATGCATGCGTTGTCCTTAATTGTGATGGAAATTTTGGAAATTTTGCAAATATGCTCGAATCGCGAGATTTCAATTCAAGTCTGGAAGCATCTTTCTTTAACACCATACTTCTTATTCTTCACCAGTAACGTCAAAGTTCAAAGAAATACATAATGCGTCTCGAAATAAAGGTTCTAGCAGCCAAGCGAATCGCCGCTTCCGCCACTAAATTTGAAGAAAAGTGTGGCACTGCCTTTAGTGCGAACGTAATGACATATAGGCAACAACTGTAGGAACGCATCGGTAAAAAGTTGTTAATTAGTTGGAGGCTTTGAGACTCCCAAAAAGAATGAAACTTATTTCGAAAGAGGGCACTCACGCACTGAGTGGGCGTAACCGGTGCAACCTTAAAGCGTTCGGCAGCGATGGATTCAAGCGGCTGGTAGTTCAGCAACATTTCACTTCTTCCACAGCATGCTGTGGAAGATTCCGGCTGGAATTGCTCCGATCCATACCCAACCATACTGTTCCTGCACCCAAGGGAAGAAGGCCACCGAGCCCATGATACGCTCGACGCTCAGACCGAACCACCACCAGTTTATGAACGACACCCCCTCATGCTTCTGCCCAAGATCAGTGTCGTCGAATTGGTCTGCAGAGAATGCCGTCACACATGCCTTGATTCCTCCCGCTCCTAAGGCCATCAAGTACAATGAACCATAGAAGAAGACTCTTTGGGGCACACTAGTCTTGTCGCACATGGTGGGGAAGAGATGATGATCACACGTCGGAGGTTTGAATGGCTCGAAGGACATGGAGACCGTGACACAAACCAATGCCTGCAAATAGGTAGCGCAGCGCGTCCCAGCTAGACGCAGAAGCAAGGGACCGGGTGCCTGCATCGCATCAAGCGAGGTACGTAGCAGGCGGGACGAAGATGAATGCTAGACACGAGAGGAGGAGAGTTTCACGAGACGGAGCGGAAGCCGATGCAGACGACGACGACGACGGACCAGCTGGTCTTGCAGCTGAGCTCTTATCGGTCGTTGCTTTATTGATTTTCGGGTCAGGTACAGCCCTCTACCCGAACCCGATCGGAGTCCTAATGCGAGTTCTGAAATTTCTGATCTTGAGAGTTGTACATCCATGGGCACATCCATTTCCAGTGTTGCCGAGTCAGTTGATTTGAAGTTGAAGAAAATTCATTCCTCGCCCAGCCCGGGAGAGGAAGGCCGGTATACGCACCGATCGTCATTCCACGACGGATGTTAAAAGAGAAGCGGCGAAGTTCTGCTGCAAGAGTAACGATCGACAAGAACATGTGAGATTTGGAACAAGACTGGATCGCCGATCTGCAAGTATTCAGGATGACTTTGGAAGGCTTACCAGGAGACTGCACGGGCAAATCTACCTTCGAAGATAAAATAGGACGAGGTGGATCGATGAAAACAGGAATTTTATCAACGAGAGCACGGAGGGATCAATAACTGCGGTAAGAGACGCAACTTCCTCGTTCTCTCGTGACAATGCCATCATTGAACACTGCCGGAAATGGAGTGATGACTGGAAATACAGTATCTCCATCTCATCGTAAGGGCATAAGTTGAGACGTGCAAATCCCATCAGGAATTAATTAAAACCCTACCAATCAACTATTTACTCAACCTAAAAACGTCTCGTCCTGGAATGGACCGCAAAACAACCCGGGGGTTTTCGGGTGAGTTGAAATATGTGCTAACATATCACTTCAATCCTGCACAACAATTGCTACAAATTCTGACAATTCATAATGATTCAAATATGTATCCCTCCTATGTCTCATTTACCTCATGACTCAGAATCCCCTGTACATGTGTGACTATTAGGTACGAAGAGTACGGGTTCGGTTAAATCTTGTAGTTGGCCGGAGTATCGGTCTCCTCTAAAACTTGCTTTGCTGAACAGAGGTCTTAAGAGAACACCTTCAATGCTCAAGACGATCGTGTGTAATGCAACATGAGTAGATCTACGTTTTGTATAACAGTAAACGCCCTTCCAGTATACCACAAGAATCAGTACTGTTGTTCCCAGAACCATCGAAGGAGCGAACCAAAGCTTTGGATCATGTAAGTGTAGGGATGGGCACGCAGCCGGGTAACTTTTGGCTAGAGGTTATGGACCCAAAATGCAATTAACCGAAATATTTCGTCGAAATAAGAATTTATTGAATAATTTCGGCTCAATCTGAATTCATAATCGGCCGAAAACGTAAATTCTATCCGAGTTTACGGTTCGTTTTCGGCCTCGGATAGAAGTGGCAGAGTTTATCACTAGTGTACACTATTAGTCTGGAGCAAATCTTACGAGTCCCAGACTCATCCAGAAATGTTCAGAGTGTAGTACAGAGGATGAGCGATAATCAGAGTTACAAATCCAACGATTCCGGCTGGAATTGCTCCGACCCATACCCAACCATACTGTTCCTGCACCCAAGGGAAGACGGCTACCGAGCCCATGATACGCTCGACGCTCAGACTGAACCACCACCAGTTCATGAACGACACCCTCTCATGCTTCTGCCCAAGATCAGTGTCGTCGAATTGGTCTGCAGAGAATGCCGTCACACATGCTTTGATTCCTCCCGCTCCTAAGGCCATCAAGTACAATGAACCATAGAAGAAGACTCTTTGGGGCACACTAGGCTTGTCGCACATGGTGGTGAGGAGATGATGATCACACGTCGGAGGTTTGAATGGCTCGAAGGACATGGAGACCGTGATACAAACCAATGCCTGCAAGTTTCCAATTCAGAATCTCGTCAAGTGAGCCATGGAGCATCCGTCTTTCAGTCCACACTTTGCAGAATATTTGCACAAGCTTTGAATATAGGAAACTTAAATCCTAGATTTTAATCTTCAAGATATACGGAGAATTCGAGAGATTGTATTTGGTTGGCATAAAGCAACTCCAGAATATTCGATACCGAGCTTTAACATGAAAGAAAATTGTCGTCAAGTAGAGATATATACCAGGAAATATATTATCATGGACCAGACGATGGTCCATGAATGCATTCGCAAGAATGCATTCAAGAATGCATTCGCAACAAATGCTCCAATAATGGGAGTAACAAACGTAGTTCCTGCCCAGATGATATAGTTTCTGGCTGCCTCGGCCTCGGTCTCTTGCAGGACTGTCGTAAGGTAGACTGTGAGAGTGGAAGATATGGCGTAATACGCTACTAACTCTGCCACCTCGCATGCTGAAGCAACAGTCATATCGCCAAGGATTAGTCGGACAGAGGAAAGGAAGGCTCAATGCATCGACAAGAGTGTTGATAAAATGTAACGGATGTAAATTCATGCAAATTCTGACACCAGAATACTGTAACTTGCCTCTCCATCCCCATTTCCAATGAAGGAAAAGTGTTGACAATCAATCGGGTAACACGAGATAGCTGACCAATTGAGCTAGAAGTGCATGCATGGACTGACTGATGAATAGAACATGCACAACGAAACACATCAAATCTTACCGAAAATTACGTGACATGCCTCCCAGTGACAGGGATGATCTCTTCTCGACATTGTGGTAAGATTGGGCATCACCTCCTGAACTAACAAGAACAAGATACTTCTATAACCAAACAGATAGAAATCCAGTGAAGGATGAAGAGAAGTACAACATTCGAGGAGGAGTGGAATTTATATCGGAAATGAACCCGGAAAGTCAATAAGGGCAGAGAGCCTGGCCAGCCATGAACCTGGGCAAATCTGAGCCGCAGAGGGGGAGGCCGCTCACGAATCTGGGCCCCAGAGGGAGGCCGCTCGCTCTGAAAGGTGAAGCTGTCACAAATGGGGGCGTGCGACGAAAAGGGAACGCCCATTTCAACACGAATCTGGGACGAACCGAGAGGAAGGCCCCTCGGGGCTCGGGCTCCCCATGACCCGGTTCGAGTAGCAGCCTGCCACACGAAGCGGGAAATACTCACGACATAGCGGGCGATGGAGAGAGCACACCTGCTAGTAGCAGGTGTGCTCTCTCCATCGCCCGCGATTTTTTTGCGCATGATTCGAGTCGCCCACCGGGGCTACTCGAAGAAGCCTTTTACCTCGGAGACCGGTAGAGGGCACCGGTCGGACTCTATGACCCGGTTCGAGTAGCCCCGGTGGCCACTATTAAGTTCCGGAACAAAAAAGTTTTTCACATGGGCTGACTATGTTATGGTTGACTATATGCCCGTTCGTAAATAGAGAAGATAGCATGGCAACTGGGCAAGTATGACAAATCATCCGCCATATATATGAAACAGTCGTGTAGTTTCAACTGCCCCATACGATAAGATAACAAACTGCCCCAATGCTGCGATAGATAACAAACAGCAGCCCGTGTAGTTTCAGGTGCCCCAATGCTGCGCTTTTGAACATCGACCTAGACAGTTCAATCTCTCCCGAGCGCCCCGAATAACAATCCCCGCTATTCGAACAGCGCTCCGGTATCAGTATCATCAGTATGTTTGCAGCTCGGGGCCCACCTTGCTGGTTGAAGAAGCTAAACGGATTCGTAGACCGCAGTAGGACACCTATAAACATATGCACTTTGCTTTCGCAATGGCACAGCATTATATCAGTTTAAAAGATTCTGACTTTCAAATCCTTCCTTCGCGGAATGTCACGCAGGACTATAGTTCCCAAGCAGGGAACTATACTCCTGATTGCTCAGTCAGCAATCAGCTCACTACAATGTTCAGAGAATGTAGGAAGTGTTGTCTTGTGCGTCGACGGCTGTAGGAAGAGCTCGACTTCAAGATGACAAGGTTTGGACTGTATATCTGTAGACAAAAAATAAAGATTTAATTTTCTAGCAAAATCACTACCCACTGTCGTTTCGTCTGAGTGTAGAATAGGAATGAATTTGAATCTGGAGTGTGTACGACAGAGGTGAACTTGCAACCATAGAGGTTTAATCGACTCATAATGGCAAGTGATAATAATTTATATCCAACACTTTTCCTTGAATCTAGAGGATATAGTAACGGGATAGCAGAGATGACAAAAAAGAGAAAAATTGTGTACGATAATGGGATTTGAAGAACAGCATTTGCAGCGAGATGAGGTAGTAGTCCAAGTTTAGTAAAAAAACCCTGAACCCTAGGATAGGAGGCACTTGAGCTCAATAGTTGGAACTAAGATGCATAAGCAACGGATCAAAGAACATTGGTAGGATCTGTTGCAGTGAACCACTGCAACACTCGTCCATTGAAGGTGTTGTGAACTTCACATCAACCTAGAACTTTGTGAAAGATCCGGTACCATCATTTTCTTTGCATATTGTCTTTAGTTTCTTTCACTCCAATCATGTTCTTTCTATATAAACAATTGATGCTTATGTAGAAACGTTAAAATAGATAACTAGATATGTATTATTGTGAACTTGACTTTCGCCAAGATTTATTATTTTTAGAGAATCTGAATACAATCTTCTTTCGTGAGAATGTGTATCGCTATACAACTTATATCATTCACATGTCATAATTACACACATATAGGAAACAAAATTTTACACCCAGAAATGTATCACAACTCACTCGTCTACCTCCCGGTCAGGTATCTTTGAATCCAAGTAGCATTATCTACAATTATATGCCATATATCTTCATGGTTGTACAAATTATGAAGCCGGGTGCTATGTTGTCTCATCCTTAGTTGTCTATCTGCAATTCGTAACATATGAAGATCAAATCATGTACCCCTCTGAAGTACATCGAGAACGACCTCATCATCTAGTCGGAACAACGTAAATAAGTGAAATCAAGCACGACATGTGTCATCCCTTAGAACATCTATCACACACTAACATACAGACCATCTGACCAACTGATCCACATAACATGCACATCAAGCCAACATGTACTATTGTCAAGCTTGGATCCATAGTACCATCCACGTTTGGGAGATGTCATGACGCATAGTTGCACACATGATACTTCTAAATAACACTGTCATAATACTCCAATATGAGAACTCCATAAGATAACACTTCTCGCACCCGCAAGATAGTGCGTCGTGCCGTCACATCCAATGTTTTTTGTGTAGTCTGCTATAAATAAATGTAGTTCTTCACATGAAACCTACAAATCAATGGTCGATAATTTACTCCCCATATGTATCATATCGCAACGTATCTCTATGCTGAGCAATTGCAAGGTTCTCAAATGCTACAAGCATGATTCTCCAAACGGGTTCTGCACGTTGAGAACACACTCTCACCCACATGTCGGATCATCAAGATTCACCACTTCATTAGACTCACAACGAATCGATGTTGGTAAGTTTGTATCCACATGTCGGATCATCAAGATTCACCACTTCATTAGACTCACGACGAATCGATGTTGGTAAGTTTGTATCTTGGCCGTACAATAGAAAATATGATGAGATAAAATCAAGAATGCTGCTAACAAATATACCGATAGGTATGATGAAATATTGGCGTATCACAAGGCAACTCTATCAGTATGTTTGGTCCAATTAAAGCAATCAACTCCTTCATGTCAAAGGCATACAAATCCTATATGCACGTAACAATAGTGTGAAGCGTCATCTCTCTTCTTGTGATATGAAAACCAATCAATGGCTTCCAATACTTGCCTAAAGACACGCTAGAGGGAGGTAACACTCTCATTTGTTGCTATGTCACATTTTCCAAAGAATCAATACGGCTTTCGGTAGCCTCATTTGGACCAACTCCTAGGTGAAAAACTCCTCTAATTGTACGGTCTACAACTCTAGTTGTGCCATATACATGTGATGAAGTATAACTAACCAATGTGGATAAAGTCATCCGAGTTTAATCTACGGGGTTCATCAATGCCGTAGGTGATCTGTCAGTATCTTTCACCGCTTAAGAATGTCGTGGAAAATCCAAAATATTGTTAACTATGAGTGTAGGATCACACTACAGGAAATCAAAGTCACAGCGTACTATCTCTTGTGATAGAAGATTTGTCCATCATAATCATGAACGATGAGCACTGTTTCAATTCTCGCAGCATCAAACAATATAGCTGATCCAATCCATTATCTAAGGTCATGAATATTCGCCATCAACTGGATGCCAATGTCACCTAAGAGTGTCAGGTCCTTTAGATTATATGTTGGGCGACGTGTCTGATGCACTTGAAAATGACGTAACACACATAACAACTTCCAAAACCAACAAGATCTAGGGTAGTGTAGCGCTACTCCATGACCAACGCATGTGCAATCACCATATCAATAAATCAAATCCGATTGAGATCCGGCATCCCCAACAATGTAATATTTGAAGTCAACTTCTACTAGAATCCTCAAATAATTGATCGTGGCAACAATGAAAGATAATAATCCATCAACTATGCAATATGTCATGAGAAGACTGGACGAGCGATCTCATCTTTCTCCACATACAAGTATATACGTACAAAAATACTTGACCGCAACAGTGTAGCCAAACCTATGCTAATTCCACCAAAAGGATACTACAAACAAACATCTTCTAGTTACTTTCATGTTATCGATGTAGTAACCAATGGGGTTAGCGCACTATCTCTTGAATTAAAGAGAACTTATTTCAATACTTCTTCATTTACTTGTCAGCCTCCAACTATAACTCATGGCAAGAATGCCGAAGTGAAACGTCCAAAAAAGAGTACATTGCTGTTGCAAAGCTCACAACCTCTTTCACATACTCATAGATTGTAGTGTCGTCTGGCAACATGTTGCACTTTAACAAGTCATTGGACCACGTAATCACTTGTAACACTAAAGTTTAAAGAGAAGTTCATTTGAAGATGAAAATACAAACTTTGAGGATAAGATATAGCAACAATGATTCTCTTTTCCTTAACACGAGTTGTTGACGTGGTGTTCTTAACTAACACTCAATCTTTACCTAATAAATACACAGATTGCTGAAGTGGTGCTGTAAACTAACACATTTATTCTCTATTTATGTAGAATATTTAAATCCATCGTGTGTATGCTAACAGCTATTTTTGCTATTGGTCGAAACTGTTTGCATGAATAGTTGAAAAGTGACACAGTTATTCTATGAATGTACCTTTGCAAACGTAAATAATCTAGTAGGGAGTGGTTAGTTATACTTCAATTTAGGTTAATTATCACTCATCCTACCCTATTTAAAGTGAAAAAAAATATTTCCGATACCATATAAAGAAAAAGCCACAACTGATATTGAAAGGGTGAAATGGAAATCGAGATTTTTTCATTCACAAGGAGGCTGGCGATAAATCATGGGTGGTATTCCACCCACCCAATTCTTTTTAGATTATCAATCACATACTTCTCTACCAAATAGTAAAGTAAGGGATGATTAGCGGATACCATATCTTAATACACAAATCTCAACGGAAAACTGAATCCACCAAATACACAATTTGTGATTGTATTGAAGTATGATTTAAGAATCCCTTGAATGCTGTGCGTTTTTATGACATCCACTTGTAGAAAAGGAAAGTGTGGACAACAAAACTAACAATCACTAGTAGCGAAACATTGTTACGCTCGTTATTGGTGCATACATTGATCCTCTACAATGACTCATATTAACTACAAATGAAGGTATAATCAACAGAATAACTTTATCATAAGAACATGAGTGACGACGATACATTCTCCATCTAGCATCCACTGTTAATCGTTCCAATTGCCGAAAGCGTTGCTATCCGGAAATGTTGGAGAAGTTGAGCAGAATGCAACCAAATTTTGAAGTACTGGTTACAACTGTCAGCTCCAAGACTGGTTAACAGAAATGTCTATGCCCAGTACTTATAGAATGGCGAGAACTGACAAATAAACTTCTTACAGGTAGATTTGATGGGTCTACATTCGACCAGAGGAAGATGTAAAGAAATATGACGACCCAGTAGG